AATCAAGTCTGTGGTACTTCCTAGCTCTAGAAGTCACTTGGAAAATATCATGGAGGGCCTGAGATTCTAGTACTATGTTTGCACGTTTCCAACAACGTGGGAACTTTTTAAGCTGCCATTTAAGGATGACTGTAACTCAAATGTAATAGCAGATAACCCTCTGAATGCTTTCTTGACCATAAGACAGTTTGGCTTTTACCCAAACACCAAACAGGTTAACACTGTGAGGTTCCAAATTATTTACATATGATAGGCCATGCTTACTTACACTCAATAACTTAGCTCATGAGTCAAGGAAATCATATATTATTCCTTCTAAGAGCCAGTCAAGTCCCTGTATGCAGGAGTTCAAGGAAGTGAGCTGAGAAGTCCACACAGCGACATGTCCTGTTGTCCCTGTGTCCCCTAGGCAGCTCTGATGACCTAATGAACTTCCACCCAGACCACACCAGGACTTATGTCCATTGTTAGGACATCTCCCGTGTCTCTTTATAGGGATAGAAATCCTGGGAATGGGAAGTAGGCTGGCTGAGAAGTGAGGTTAAGACAGGCCTGATATAAAACAGACTAGAAACAGAGCTTCAACAATCTCTGATCTCTGTAGAGGGGCATCACATTGAACTAGGGCAGAGTTAGGTAGGTCCAGAATCAGGGGGTAATGGGAACACAGAGAAAAGGAAAAGATCACCCATGGAAATTCCTTGTCTTCCCATAAAGCACATTGTATGTGGCTGCAAGAAGACAAGGTGCTATAGTAATTGTTATACAGGAACAAGTTTAAGAAATGCTGAGCTAGTCTAGTGGAAGGGAGAAAAGACAAGTCTATCTACTTATATTTTGGTATGAAAGCCCTTCTTCCTCTAAGATGATTGTGAGATCCCAGTTGGAAATGAAGGAGAGAAGGGGAATTTGAAAGTGTTGCTTGCCTGCAGGGCTCACTCCATTTGTTCTAATGCTAAGCCTGTATGGCATTAATAAAATAATTTTAAATAATACATATGTATACATATGCTTACTGTTGTGAGAATTAAATGAGGCAGCAGAGTCACATAGTGGAGCTAAGATCGGTGCATTACTTGACAAGTGTGATGCACCTCCACTGCACCAATATTCAAAGTGAATGCATCCTCTAGGCTCCAGAAACACATGATAAATCAATTCATTGATGCCTAATATCTAAAACTATATGTAGAGAGGCTTGCCTTTTAAACCATGTGACGTGGGTGTGAATTTCCAGTAGGGGACTTGACAACACAGCCCAATCTGTTCCCACGCCTTTGGGATGAAGATGGAACTTTTAGAGTACTTGCAAAGATGCTGTCCTTGGTGTCTAGAGAAGCAGACCATGGGCTGCTACAGGATGCAGCAGAGATGGCAGCAACGTGAAACTTGTGCATTTATTAAAATGAGTTTGAATTGACATTAAAAGAACTGCTGTCAAAATTCAGTACAGTCTCCTAACTTGCTCCTAATAGGTATGGCTGCAAGTTCTTCCCTGGGACATTTTCCTTTGATTTTGACAAGTGTTGACAATATTTATTAAGCACATCCTTTCAGATAGGTTTCATGCTGAAACTGCTAAACGGGTTTCAATGAGGAAGTAGATCAAGGTGGAAACAAAGGTACACAAGCAGAATTTGAAGTAGTGACTTTAAAAATATTATGGGAAGAGAAGCAAGCTCCCTTAAAGAAAATGTCATGTATGAGTAAGGTGCTGAGTTACCACGCATTGCAATCATGAATGATTCAAGCAGTGTGAGCAAGTGGGTCAGCATCAGTAGGAAAAAGGGCTTCAGGAATATTGAGCTGCTTCCTCAGAGAGAAGTGTCCAGCGCCTGGAAATGAAGTTCTCCGTATGTTGCTACTCAAAGTGTGATCTGTGAGCCCGCAGCATTGGGAACTTGTTAGCCACCCAGGAACTCAGGTCCCTCCCTGGAACTATTAAATCAGAATCTGCATTTTGACATTAAACTCAGGGGACTCACATACTCACTAAAGCTTAAGAAGCACTTTTCTGACATTAAATTAAATACACATTTTTATTTGTTCTTGGGCCTTTGCACAGGATGCTATTTCTTTTACGAACACCCTTCCCAATCCCCCTCCCTCCTGGACCACTCCTACTCTATCCTTTGAGTCTCCACTTATCAATCATCTCTTGTACCTCCCTCCTACCCTCCCTCTCCAACCTTCCTCCAACGCCCCATGCGTGCTCAAAAACACACTCTTCCCTCTCCCCCACCGCCACATGTCCATCCTCACCCTAACCCAAGAACTGAGATGGACACTTTGTATGTTTCAACAGCACCCTGAACCGTGTCCGGTTTTAGCAATTGGCACATAATTTTGTAATATTTGTCTGTCTCTCCCGGTAGGCTGTGAGTACTAAAAGCGCAGGGACCCTTGAGGATCTTAGAACAGTACTAAGCAGTGATGGATTCGTGTATATTAGTGCTATTGGTTCTTAACTTTCTGAGCATCCTGGTTGACCTGAGAAGATTATGCATAAAAGTGTGTTTGAATTCAATGCTCAGTTTTCTGCAGTGGTGACAGATGGTGGGATGAGCCGTATCTGAGAACATAATTTAAGGAATTTACCTGAATAGTTCTAATGAAGAAGAATCCGGATGCTATTGTTGCTAACGAGTCAAGTACACACAGTGTAAAGTTCGACAATTTTAACATATTAAAAGAGATAATATTTGTTCTTCTCCCTCCCTTAAAGAGTCCTTTTAATAAGATGTAGTAATTACCATAGATTTGAATGTCTCAGTCCTATTAAGAAGATCTACTCTTGAGCTTTAGTCTAAATCCCTTAATCGCAACACTGGGGGAAAAAAAAAAAAAAGCTCACATCTATCAGAAGAGATCTTGAGCAAGGAATTGAATTACCCTGTATATCATTCATTCATTTAATGATATATTCCAACCAAGAACCGAGAGGATTTAAAAATGCACCTTCTCATGGTTCAAAAGAAAAGTTTGATATAGTGAATGTCCTTATTTTATCCTCAGCTAAAGGGGTTAACTTGTTACATGAAGCCCAGAGGTTTAGATCAGTCTTTCAAAAACTGATTTGTTTTAAAAATCATGTGATGTGTTAGTATCTCTTACCTTCATCTCCTAATCAGTCTATTGACAAAGACTCTCTCCTTGACCAAACTTCAGTCAGACTCCTCTGAGCTTTCTCTTCAATGAGATCTTGATCTTGATTGACGTGGCCTGAAGGGCCCAGTTTTAGCAAAGATTCCTGCTAAGTCAGTTTAGCAAGAATCCCCACACTCTTGATAGCTGCCTCAATTCCTTAACCATCACCC